CAATAAAAATCCCGGGAACCTGATTTTCCTAGCAATCAACCCATATGATCTTATCAAAAAAATTCGATTAAAAATTACAGCAAGTTGTCGTAATGTAGAAAGAAAATTTAGATATTGTTGTTGAAAGAAATTTTGTCAGTAAATGGTTCAAAAAGTTTAACTGTGGAGTAAAACATATGGTATTATTGGTAATATTTATTTCAAAGTCCAAGTTTATAATGTTTATTTGAAGTATATAAACTAAATTCCAAAGGCATGCATGTTTATTAAGTTTCTTTTTTTTAAAAAAAAAAATGCATTTTTTAATCTGAACAATCAGAAATGAACAAGTTTATTCTTTATAAAATTGTTGCATTAAGAACGTAGGCCACGCGTACAGCTTTAGAATTTCGAAAACAATTGTTCAAGTAAGTGATAGATTATTTTAAGTGAATTATGTCTCTCACGATTCGCTTTTCTTTAAAATCATCTTTAATTGTAAAGAACAAGAATATGTAACAGGACTTCTGGTTTGTATGGATTCATAATGCTTCCCGTTACCATCAACGACTTTTGATTCAGCGACTAATAATCATAAGACGGTTATTCTTAAAAATAAAATTTTTTTATTCTTGATTTAACCAAGGATAGAATTCAGTCGTCAACTATAAGGTATATTACAAAATTTATTTGTCTCGTTATTTTTAAAATAAATATTTGTAATTTCAATTAAATAAATTTTTAGTTAAAAAGATTTTTGACAAAAGAAAGATTCACCAAAAGGAGATCAGAAATTAGCGCAAATTTATATATTGACTGATTCGTGCTCTAAGCTAATGAACCAGATATCCATCAGTAATCTAATGTAGAATCAATAATGAATAAATTTATTAAATTTTATGTTAAATGGTCAATGAAATTAATGAACCAATTTGATTATTGAAAAAATTGAACACCGTGAATTAAATCGTTAAATAAAATTAATTCACCGGAAGCAAAATTCACGATAAATCAGATTTCGGATGACAAAGTTCATATTAAAAATACAATAAGTTTTCTCTTTGGACTTTTTTATAATTAATAATAATAATCTTACCTATTGTAAACTGATCATCAAATATAAAGTGTTCGAAGGTGAACGAACGATCAACAAAATCATCATCTACACAGAGAAGTTTTATATATTGAGGATTTGTACATTATTTCAATAAGATTATTCGTTGGATGATATCACCTAGATTGGACTCTCTAATAACTTTATTTGGCATGATTTCTATAAATGACATTGGAATTCCGTAAACTTTATACCTCTGGAATTTCTATCATTATCGACTTCTATTACTTGAAATTCATTTGCAAATTTTATTTAAGGTATTCGAATGCGAATTAACAATTCCTATTTGCTAGAACGATAGTAGATGGTTGACATTTTGCATCCATGAAATCAAATCCAGTGATGTACTTACTATTCCTATTTTAGCCTTTGTAATCTTACAACCCCACCCCCAAATTCTCCTAATTTTCATGTGTAACCATGTGCACGGCCATTTTAATACTAGTAAACTTAGTAGATATCACACGATCCCTATCTTTACTCGGAATTCTGGAACAATATGATTGGCTGATCACAATCATAAATCTATTCTCGATGCTTGCATTTTTTTCAAAAAAAAAAAAAAAATAAAAATAAACTCCTCTTGAAAAAAACTGCCGTCTCAACACATAAACCAGCTAAATAATAATACAAACCGAACAACAATAATATGCTATTAACCATACAAGAATTGGGCGTGTTCGAAGATGGTCTTCCACTATATCGTCAAAGTAAATAGCGTTGAGAAATTTTAAGGCATTATGATGATTGTTTAACTAATGAAATAATTATTTTTTTTTCACAGTAATAATTATAGTAACTAACTTGACGTCTATGGTTGAGGTTACCAACCATACAGGAATTGGGAGCCAAAGTAAGTAACGTTGAAAAACTTTTGAAATTATGATAGTTTAATAAATTTACTAATTAAATAATTTTTTCCTCACATTTAATAATTATAGTATTTGATTTGATGCCTATGAACGTTAGGGCAATCTATTTTTTCGTTGATCAGCAAGGAATTTACATTTCTCGTGGAAACGTTGACGAGTTCAACCGGCGAAAGGTGGACGTTTATGGGCTAGTGGGAATTTTTGAATAGAGTTCTGGGTTTTTATTTTGTGAGAGAGAAATCTCTCAATTTGACGAAGAGGAAGCTTTTGCTCCTCTTCAAATTATATTCATTGGAATAAAATCGCGCGTGGTGACGTTAGTAGGCCAAGTCATCGAAAAATCAGGCGCGATGAGTGGCGGTGATCATAAAGTTTAAAAGGGGCTATGAACTCGAGATTTACTTCTGAAGTAACATCCGAAACGATAGATGACACATTGTTGGTGTTAAAGAAAATTGTAGCTCATGTAAAAGACTAAACAACAAAAATCAATTCTGATCTATGTATATTAATTTATAAAAGTAAATTAGCTTTTATTAATTTAATTAACAGATTTTACTTATACTATTATAATATTTATCTATTACTTTAATTTCAGAAAAAAAAAAATTTATAAAATCAAAATAAAATTAATAATTAAAGTTTAATCGAAGAACGCGATTTTATTAACAAGTGCGAGTCATCTAACGATTGTTCTTAACGAGACGTAAACACATGAGGACGACTTCCACTATTGTTTTTGCTTCAATCCAACGAAAATGATGACACCCGAGACCATTCAGATGATTCATTTAACCATTTGAAATTTATAAATGCGAACCAGTTATTAATCTTTTTCAACAAAAATCAAGTTCTTTAAAGAGCATATGGTGATGCAGCAAAGCAGCATACATCATACATGATGTGTTTGATTTTTATAATCTAAGTGCATACATATATACATTTTGTCTGATGCTTACTACATGATAAAATATACCCTACCTCCCTTGACCAGCCTGAACCTGGCGGTTCCCTTTTGGCTCATTTGAGTGGAACATTTAAAATGAGTCGTAGGTATCCGCATCCCTTGATTGTATTTTTTCCGTCTCATTGCTTACAGTCGGAGGCTGTTAACCGGCAAATAGACGGTTTCTATGAGGAACATCAGTGAAAGGTGAATTTGATCGTAAACGCAATACGCAGTAGTAAAATTTTGGATCTCAATAGTTATTATCATAATAATAATAAATCTTAATTTGTCCTTATGAGTTTTACTGAAGGCTTTTTCATTGTTCTTTGAAAAATAAACCTAAGTATGGTATGATCTCCTTCATTTAAAATCCTGAAAATGCATGCGTTAGCCCAAAAATTTTTCCATTTATCCTAAAACAAATAAATAAATTTTTCGATATTGTTTGTATATTTGTGTGACTATCCCGCCTCAACATATATAAGCCCGTTATTTTGTTTTAAATAAGACAAAAAAAAAATTCAAGAAAAACAAAAAATTTTTAAAAATTAAAATTTCTTTTATAATCCGCAAATAATAATTATAAAAAAAAAAAAAAACCTCCTAATGAATCTACATATAATTATACCTCTAAAATCTATTATTTTAACAAAAATAACAATTCTTATTTTAAAAGAATACACAATCATGAAAATGTATAAACATTTTATTCTTTTATAAAAAAAAAAAAAAGAATATAATCCACACTTGAATGTGTGGATTCAAATTCAAATTATTTGAATTTGATTATTGAATCCACCGATGCGTGGATTCAAATTCAAAGTTTTTGTTTTTAAAGCTTCACAATTCCAGGAAAGCGAAAAGCTGTTGAAGTTTTTAAAATTTTTATATATTAATAACATAAATATTAAACTAGTTATTCTTTAGTATGTTTCAATTGGAATTTAAAATTTTAAAGTATTTAGTATTTAGCGTATCTTACTAGAATAACATATAATTCGTTTAAATGTAAATTTTTTAGAAAAATTAATTCAATAAAAACCTTTTTAAATATTTCACGTATAAATCTATTATAATAAAAAGAATTTAATATGCATTTGCGCGGTGCATACTGCGCAATCAACTATAAACACCTGACCTGACCCGATTATTTAATACGTGATTATCGATTTTATAATAAATCGTAAAATCTCTCAACGTCAATTTTTCATAAAAAAGCGAAGAATTCATCCAATGGTTTTCTTTGTCATTGAAATGGTATGAAAATTTTTTGTTGCTATATCGGTTTCATCTAAAAAATAATTGAACGTGAACAGAATTTTTACGTCGTCGCGCCACAAAATTTTTACGTTCTTCGAAAAAAAAACTTAAAAAACTTTTCTTTACAAGTTGCCCGTTTCAAAAAACCTAAAAAAGGTTACCAAGTCACATAAGAAAACACACCTAACAACCTCGTTAAGCAACAAACGCCTAACTCAACACAGCTGTTGAAGAAGTTTTAGCCTTGTCAAGAAAAATATATCAAAAGATCCAATTTAACATGTCTTGCTGGTTTCCTTGAATCATTAAAAGAAAAGAGATGGGCTTTGATTCTGAAATACAAAGCTTGTCTACAGGTAATTTTTTTTTGAAGTTTATAATGATTTCAATACGTCTTACATAATATCTTAAGTATGTATTCTCATATCTCATATCTTTCTTCTCATAGAGAAATTACCTACTATATAAATTAGTGGATGAAATCTTAATTAAACGCTGCTGACAACAAGGTACGTTTATTATAAAACGTCTATTAGTTACTTTGATCGTTATTTAAAATCTTTTTCGTTAATGTCAGGTTCGAGACGATATTAAAGTTGATATTGATGAAGAATGACGTCATATAATAACGGAAAGGAATCCCTATTGAAATTCATGAGGATGAAAAAGTCTCAACTCATTTTTCGCAGCTTCAAATTATGATGATGAGGAAAAGAAAGTTTCCGGTGGTCGTAATGATTTCGGTGTTAAATTAGCAAATGTATACAATTCTGAGTTCATTTTGGAAACAGTTTCAAATGGCAAAAAATATCTCCAAACTTTCAGGAACAATATGATCGTAATCGAACAACCAATTCTCACTGCTTGTTCCGAATATGCTTGTGACTACACGTGGATCATCTTTAGACCCGATCTTCAAAAATTTAAGATGACTCGATTTGATGATGACATCTTCTCCCTCTTAGCATACGATTTGGCGGGGTGTGTTAAGGAAGTTCAAAGTTCTTGAATAATGAACAGTTAAACGTCAATAATTTTAAAGATACATGCAATTGTATGTGATTGACGCGATCTTCATTAGTGATAAATGTGATGACCGATGGGAAATGGCCTTCCTTCCTCTGATTCTCACTTCCATCATGTAAGTATTTTGTTCTTATGTTTCCCTGACCTTGCTTTAAACGGTTATGCTAAATTCGTATAATTCTAACATTATTTCGTTATTCTTCATTCAAAAATAATAGATAAGCTTAGTTAAGAAATATGTACTACGAAAGGAGGTACCAACGTTAATTATATCGCAGATCAACTTGCTGAAGAATCATAACAGCGGTCAAAATAAGAATAAGAACGCAAAAATAAAAAAGAACCACATCATAATCATATGTGGATATTCATAAACTGTTCAATTGAAAACCCATCCTTCGATTCTCAGACGAAAGAAAATCTTATATT